CTTTCAAGAGAATGTGAAAAGTTTTCTTAAATGGTGCTACCCATTTCTCTAGAATGATACTGTAGCTCATCCTCTTTGAATCAGAAACTCACAATGGCATTGTGTCTTCCGTAAAAGTGACACTTCAAATGAAGCTATATCAAAGCACCATTGAATGATGAATACATAATATCTTCATTGACGGCTATCTGCTGTAATTACACTGAAAGAATTAAAGAACAAACCCTGCGCCTGCTCGGGGAATAGATTCTGTCTGACTATATGTATCATTTGAAGAGTTTAGGTCAAATGTGATTCAAAAAGTTTTCTTAAAAAAGCATTGGCTTGAAATATAGATGTATATAGAGGAAATAGTCCTTTGCAAGCCTCCAGGGCTGTAGCAAATCAACAGGGTTGTGAGGACACTCGTAATTCAGTAGTATTAAATGCAATATGAGCTTTCATGATAAATGGATATTTTAAGATCCTTTTGTTGTTTTTCTAGCTTGTAATGTTAGTTACATATGAAGCATTTTGCTCATGATTTTAAAAAAGAGAAGGCTAACATTTGGCTCTTGACCTGCTAGTTTTAATCTAACAAAGAGGCCTAGTTGTCAAGCATTTGGACATGAATGCTTACATAATCAGGGAGCCTTTGACAGCGCTCAGCACTTCAAGTCAAGTTACTTTTCCAGGTACTCAAATATTGATTGAAGAGCTAAACATTTTCTTTAGTTAATAAGAGTCTCAGACACCTACTTTTTTGAGTCTTGCTCAGGGTCGTAATTCATGGAAACAAAATTTTTGTCTCAGTTGTATTTGCCTTGCTATTTTGTGAATAAAATTAAACTGCTGTGCAGGTCTGTCCTTCACTGGCATGCCAACTGTTTCAACGGAATTAATTCCCCTGAGTGCCTTTATCAGATTTGTTCAGTTTGTTCCTAAACATGAAGTTCAGTTCAAAACAAAACAACAGAAACAGAGGAGGAGCTTTTCTTCCTTGGCTTTGCAATAAGTGATTGGAAAAAGTCCTGTTGCCCCAGGTACGTGGAAAAGCTTTGTGGGCCCTTCTGAATGAAGCATCTGTGGTACTATTGCCTGTGATCTTCATGGGACTGGATTTTCCAGGAGCAAAGGTGGTTCCTTCCAGGCTTATTAGTTTCTGGTAGGAGCCAAGATGCGCTTACTTCTCCCAAAGTTAACGTACAGCTCTGGCTCCCAAACACTTGTAATTTAAAGCCAGGCAGATGAAAGAAAGCCGCAAAATCTGAGAAGAGTATTCAATGTGAAATTATGCATTAATATATCTGAGTAGAGTTTCAAGAGCAGCTTCAATGTAAGATAAGGAAGGCTTCACAAATCAAGGACTAATGAAGTCCTCGATTCTCTATTCAAAGAGCAACACAGGGAAATAGATAGAAAAATTAGTATGTGAAGCAGAAAAATTTGTTTTCTTGGAGACTGCACAACTACTAAAATGCAAGCCAATTTTTCAGTCAATTAGGAAATAACATATGGAGATTTATCCATTTGCTGACATGCAACAAACGCTGGCAGACTTAAAAAGGAAAATCTACCTAGAAGCTTTTTTATTTGAGACTGTTTTGTGCCCTTCCCAATTCTGTCTTCCCAGAAATGAAAATTTTTCAAAAGAATGCTCCATTCCAACAGAACTAGTGCAAACTTAAAAAAAAAAGTCCTTATATGTATCTTTTGAATTTTGTATTGACTCCTTTATACAACTCTTAGGCTCACTTAGAGGTCTAGTATTCTGCCATAAGTTTCAAGGGTATTGTAAATGCATAGCATCTGCCTTTCTTATGCATTTACAAAGAGACTATGGAAAGTTCTGTTTTCTGTTTTCTTGAATACATTAAAAAAGAACAACAACGGGCAGTTCTCTTACTCATAATTTACAAGCCTTCTTTCTCTGTACTTTCTCTTAGATCCACTTACTTATATAACAGCTTTTTCCTCCATCTTGCTAGCTGTCAGGGTATTCGTTAAGTACACAATATAACAGTAACAGCCATCACGTTTCTGTAATCAGTTTGAAGACAAAAACCCCAGCCTGTAAGTTTTACTGTTGCTCAGGCATCATGACCTGAACAAATGTTTGGGAGGTAGTTTTGTGCGTTTCCATGGATTAGACTGGATAGGCTACAAAGAACAGTCAGTCAGTTCCTGGTAACATTAGGTGAGAACCGGTTCCTGGCAATAATTGGCTCTCATGAGAATTTTAGAGTCAATATGAGTAACTGCGGGACTACCACTGTCTGAGAGAAAAATATGGGCTAAAATCTGCCAAAAGATTTGCTACATAAGTGCTGACTCCTTGTTTTAACAAGCTGAATGAAAAAAAACCTCACTGGGCCTTAACCCACACCTGGATGTCCCAAATGATAACTGATTTGCAGCTGCTTTACAGCACGGATGATTCTGAAATGCAAGGATATTTGTCCTCCGTCTTTTGCCTTACTAACAGCAGATGTGTTGGACAAAGAGCAGAGAGACTGATCTTTGGCTCCCTTAGGCTCTTAGGCAAAGGGTGAGGCTGAGGCACCTGTAAAGAAAGGAGAGGTGAGCCCTGCGCAGGTTGTCCAAGGGCTCCCTGAGTGGGCCTGGGCCCCTGGCAGGAGGGTCCTGCCAATTCTGGCTGGGGCCAAGTGCCTTGAGGCTGTAGGAGAGGCAGGGGAGTGGGAAGAAAGCAGTTTGCTGGGAGGAAGGTTGGGCTAGGCGGAGGGTGAGTGGGGTGGGGGCCAGTGCCTTATCCCGGCCTGCTCTCCCCTCTGCATGGTCTAAGGGTCAGGCGCTGCCCCAGCCTGGGCTCTTACGCTTGTCCCTTTCCTAGCCCTGACCTCAAGCGTCTCCCCAAGCTGAGAGGTCCCCTTAAAAAATAGGCAAGCTGGGTGTACTGTGGAGAACGAGGCTGGGAAACTCAAGTTCAGGTTTCTTGGGAAGGCAGTCCAAGTCCCAGCATGGGCTGGGCTTTGGGACTTCTCCTTTTCCGGGGGTGAGCTCTGGCATAACTCCAGTGCTCTGTCCAGAGAGGTGGAGGCCAGGGCTTTCTCAGGCAATAGATGACCCTGAGGGCAACAGTGAGAGCAGTGTGAGATTTGGAGGGGGTCTCCTGAGCCTGGTATGCACAATGGCCAAAGTGGTCTTTCTCCTTCTGCTTCAACTGCTTCAGAAGCCTGTAGGAAACGTGGACTTTATACAAGATTTCAACAATATGCTTTACTGCTGAAGCTTAGAATTTGACATGAGTTTATCTTGAATGTTTCTCTATACCTTATGTGCGTATAGGGTGTTAGTGTGGTGTAGGTCTTTTGTTTTGACTTGTTTTTAATATTGTATTTTTTTTTTTGCTTATTTTTGCTCAGTTCTAACAATCATCTCCTGCTGTGCAGTTTTAAATTTTTTTTCACTTTTGGTGAAAATAAAAAATTTCTTGTTAAAGTAAAATATGTGAATGACCATATTTGAATTTCTTTCTGAACTTGCGTTGTATGGATAAAGACTTTTTTGTAATAAGTAAATAAGTTTTTATATTTTCATTGCAGTATCACATTTCTAATGTAAGATATTTAATTTTCTTAGTTCCATAGAATCTTTCAGGTTTGTTTCCTTTCTTTCTTCTATACTGGTAAGCCTAACTTCATCCAGATACCTATTATTTGGTCCATCTTCCATCTATCTTGAAATTCCTATTTGTTTTCTTAGTATACCATCAGAGTAAATTCTTCTTTTTATCTATGACTTCTAATAGGTTTTCTCTTTTCCTTTCCTAGCCATGCCTTGCCTGTCTCAGTTTCATGGCTGGCTTTTACTAAATATTCTGTCTCTGGCACAGCTGAACAACTCCATTCAGTTTCTAGTGAGGTTAATTCCTCACCATATGGTCTGGACTGGTTCAGAGGGCTGTTAGAAGCCCTTTTGCTTCTCATCCTTCTAGGTGGGCTAGAGCGTTTTGCTGTGCAAAATATTTCTCCTTAAAGTTTTTGTGAGCTTTGTATTATTTTGGCAGAGACGATTCAAAATTTTCCCACTAGGTTTCTGTAAATTATGAACTGTCTTGTAGCATCCTTCTAGTCTCGCTGGCTGATTTCTTATCCAGGTGGCTAACTTCCTTGGAGGCCTTTGAATTTTCTGTCTGGAATTTTTCCATCTGAATTCTTTGTTGCAGTATGTTTAGAAAGTCATGGCTTAATCAAAGCTCCTTCAGTTTCTGCAAAGTTTACTTTATTAAAGCAAATCATCCCAGGGACTTCCAGTGGGGAGCTGGCAAGCTCAGCAATTCACTTCGCTTGTCCAAATCTGGATTTCAAAACCTGTCTTTGCTGCCTCGAAGATTTTATGTAGGAAAAACTCATTTTCAATCACTAAAAATATCTTTTAAACCAAAATATCTTCTTCTCTTGGACTCATACTGCAAATTTTATTTTTGATACTTAGAGTATACTAATTGCCTAATTTTAAGGGAACTAGATGTAAAAGAACAAAATAATGACTTTACTCTGCCAGGAAAGTCCAAACACATGTCCATATTTACTGCTTTCTTATAGATTTCTTTTAAATTTGCAGCTTAGAAACAAGAGTTAATCTCATTATGATTTAAGCAACAGATTTTTACAGCAGTATTTACCTTAAGCGGAAATTACTGACACAAAATGGATTGGCATAAATGCATTCCTAGGGTAATGCAGTACTTGCTGCAGAAGATTTACACTTGAATTTTTCTGAAATGACACAAGATAGTTGAGATGCAGTTATTTTTGGACTCTTACACTAAACTTATCAGCAGAATGAACTTAAGTAATATTTCTGGGGGTCTGGTTGGCAAAAATACATGGGCATACTTAGTTTTATGTATTCTTTGATAGCTCTCTGAAAATCACTGGCGTCATGCTACAACAGTAGTATTGCTTTGGGTATAGTTACTAGCATGTTTAACTCTGCAAATTCGTGTTACGGAGCACTCCCTCGGCATAATTCTATAAATGTCATCTTTTGGTAAGTGTTTACCAGTTCCAGTTTGACCTAGTACAACAGAACATTTTCTTAAATGTACTCCGTAATTCTGGGCTTCGGAATGCGTAAATCATAGGGTCGATGATTGCGTTGCACATTATGAGTGTCCCGTTCACATGGAAAATGGACATGTAGCAGGCACAGTAAGGATTATGTGGGCAAAACCTTGCTAGAAGGATGTGAAGAACAAAGGGGGCCCAACAGCAAAGGAAAACTCCAAGGAAAATTGTCAGTGTAATGGCTCCTTTCATGTTAGTTCTCTGGTGGACTGCGCTGGTTGGCAGTGCAGCAATCTTTTTAGCATGGGATCGAGCCAGGAGGAACATATGGACATAGAGGCACAATATAAAAAACATCATTAAAGGAAACAGAATGGTGAAAGGAATGACTGTAGCTACTTCATAGGAGAAGAGGGCGATGGCAATACTACTGCCAGCACAGAACGTCCAGATGATTGCCAGGATGACCAAAGCCCTTCTCAGGGTCATGATGTTATGGTACTGTAAAGCATAGAAGATGGTGATGTATCTGTCTGCTGCGATAGCCAACAAGCTGAAGATTGACCCCAGTAAAGACAAAATGAACATGGAATCCATGGCATCGTCCAGCTTTTTCTCAAAGTCCCCCCGACGTGTCAGGTACCCCATTTTGCATAAGATGATAAAGATGTTCTCCAGAGTTTTGTACAAGCTACCTAACATATCTGAAATGGCTAAACTACAAATGAAAAAGTACATGGGTAAGTGCAGATTCTTATTCCTGATGACGGCAATAAGGACGAGCAGATTTTCCAGTATTCCAACAGCAGCGACCGTGAAAAAAACTTCTTCTGGTACCACAACCTGGGTGCAGTCAGTGATATTTAAAGAGAAGTCACTTATATTTTCCAGGGAAGGAATGCTTGTCTGCCCTGGATGTTTAATTATGTTGGAAGGCCTCTCAGTGCTCATTTCTTCCGCTCAGGGAAAGATTCTGGATTGTTTCTCAGGCTTGGTTTTATTCTGAAGCTGACCTATCAGTCAGATCATTCTTCTTTTGATGAAGCCTTCTCCCTAATCTGGGGCAATTCTAAGGCTTAATTGAAATGTTTTGGATTTCTCCTAGAACAAAACACATAGAAACATAAATATCAAGAAGAAAATTCCCACACAAATGTGTCAAAAATAGACATTTTAAATAACACCTATTGGAATAGAATGAGCATTCATCATCATTAGAGAGGGGCAAAGTTTGCTTGGATAAAATAAGAGCTCCTCCAAGCTTCACCAAGCCTCAGAGGAAAACAAAGTGCAAATTACCTTTTAGGTTCAAAGAAGTTTCAAAAAATACATGTAGTTCTCTTCACCAACGAACATCCCAGTTTACTGAAAGTTTACTGAAACTTATGTCAGAGACTTTGAGAGTTTGGCAGTCTTTACTGGCCCAGCTGTTTGCTTTGAGAAAGTTTGGCATTTATCACAAGATTTGCTGTATTATTAAACACAAATGAGACCAATGCCAAGAGAAGCTGCTATCCAGGACAGTAGCACATTTACTACCACACTGATGACAGTGAAACAAAATGCTCTCAATTTAGATGTGAACATTTGTAAATATTGGCATTTCCAGAGGCAAGTTAGATATTACTGAGAAGGTACCTTTTCATGTAAATTGACACATTTCTTTGATTTGATGAACATAATTCTAATGCAGATTAAGATTCAAAGGAAAATCTCTTCTTGGCTGTATTTTACAATTATCTAAAAGACCAAACCCTCTACTTTAGCAATAAGAGGATTTTTGTTCCTCTCCACAATGATTCTGATTTAAATTCCATTAAAGCATATAGCAATCATTCCAAAGGATTAGGCTTTTTAGGCTACTCATTAATGTATAGGTGGATGTAATATTAATTTATCTTGGATATTATCCATTGCTATAGCCCCATTTGTGAAGTACAGGTGCAGTTGCTATTTGGAATTAGCTCTTGACTGTTTGACGCTGTCATACCTGTAACTCTTGAAATTCCTTTGGACATTGTTTCATAGTCAAACTTGCTGAATGCCATAGTGCATTTTATTACTGCTTCAAAGGGGCAAGTCAAAAGTTTAATTTACTTTTGTATACAAATAAAACCCTCTGTAAGTGTCGCTGGTATCAGAAATGAGCATAGCTGAATTGCTGCTTGAATGTGATTAGCCTTAATGCAGGTTAACGTGTTTGCCCACCGTTCAATGGAAAACGACCTGGATTTTCCAGTGTCATCTGCTCAGATTTCCAGTAAGGTGCTACTTGTGGTGAAAAATGCTGAGACTTGGACCACCAGCCATCACGAACTCACCTGAGTCTAGCCATTACCTCACCTAAGAGAAAGTATTCAAGAAGGTGCCCATATTTATCTGAAAACAAAGGCTCTGCGATGGAATAAATGAACTATATTGCACTGTGGTGCATGTGGACATTTCCAAAGGCAATTAAGTCTTAACATCTTTGAGACTTAATTGTTAAGACAATTAAGTCTTAAAATCTGTTAGTACGTGACGGCAGGTGATATGAAGAAAAAGAGATGCAGCAATGTCTTTGTACTGCAATGTTTTTTCTATACTTGAAGCTCCTGTTGTAGCTAAATTTTATGATTTCAAATCTATCAGGCTATTTAACAACTTAATTTTCACTATTAATAAAAAGCAACACAGACAAGCCAAAAAGAACCTCATTTCAATGGGATTTAAACAGCACAATTAGTTGGCAAAAATTGCATTTATGAAACCACTATTCTCTCAGACTTTTGCTTCAATAATGCTCCTTTGCTGACATCCTGATTTGCTGAACTACACTTCCCGGCCAGTGTGAAGGCCGCTTCACTGAAAACAAACTGTAAAGGGCATGATACAGTGTATCTGTGCCGGTAATCTTACGATAACTTCACGTTAAGTACAGCAGTTGGTTAGAGCGGAGATTTTATAAAGGCTTTAGAACAATTACGGTCACTGAGTAATTACATTATATCACTTAATGTTATTTTGAGACAATTAATAGAAAGTCAGAAAAGACATTCTCATTTCAGACATTCTTGTTTCAGCATATATACATAGCTATTGTAGACTATTTTATTAGGCTCCTATCAAGGATGTTGCCAATTATCTCCTGTTCTGATTCAGTGTGGTGCACAAAGAGTCACCATATTGATGTCTGGGGCTTCTCAGACAGAAGTATCTACCCTTATGCTGCTGTGCATGGTTAGTAAATGCAGTGCTTCAGGGAACCATCTATGCATTTTAACTAAAACATCTGCAGCAAGTTCCTCACTTACAAGGTTCTTTCACAAGTACCAGTCTCCTGGAGGAGGTTTAACACTTCTGAGTAGCATGGGACAGACTGAATAGACGTGGGATGTAGATCTGTTGTATATATGATCAGTAACCTCAATGTATCCTAAAAGCTAGTGGAAAAGAAAACACAGTAATACCTTGGTGCTTGGATGCATACTTCCACTGACTACTGAAATAAGAGCTAAGGTCTTTCCACACAAAGCTGCAAAGAATCGTTAGGCAAAAACAAAGTTTATTCTCTTGTCTCGGTTGCACCATCGGAGACAACCTGGATGTAATAGACTTCCTTTCCACTGTCTGTATCTTGCCACTTCTCTTTCTCATTATTTTGTCCAGATAAAGGATTCACACAGGCAGCAAGAGATTTCCACCAACACTCTGAAAGACCTCGACTGATCTTTTACAGGTATGTGCAAAATCAGCCTTTCACAGCTAGTACTTATATGCCATTATTGTTAAAAAAGGACACAATTTAATGATAAAAAGTGCCCTGTACTACAATTTTTTTTTTGCTAGAAGTGGCCGAAATAGTTTCATGTTGCCTTTCTGGAGGTCGTTCACAGTCTAAACAAATTTGCCTAACTGTAGCAAGAAAAGCTAAAAAGTCAAAAAGCACCAAATAACAAAAAAGACCCTTTAAGTTTAAAAAACATTTGCAAATTTAGCTATGAATATTGCAAAAACAATAAAAACCTCAACCCACTCTTATATTTAAATTAGACCCTGGAGGGAGAAATCAGCGGCTCAGTCATATTTGATATTTGAAAATATTATTTAGAAGGAGACATTCTCCTGAGCTAGGATAATGGGTAACTGGCTGGTGACAATAGTGGAGTTGCTAAAAATGTATATATCTGTAATATTATCAGAAATTTCTATTCAATTTGTAGGCGACCTGAACAAAGATGAGGCAGGGAACTGGGGAATAGGAAGCCAGGACCTGGAAATATACTGACAGATTTGTAGGAAGTTAAAAACCAAATAGAATTGTGATTACCTGTCAGATGAATTCATTCACTCTGACTATGGTTTGGCTCTTTGCAGCACTCTGGCACCTGTGGAGCACGTTTGCGCTGCCATATAGCGCACAGCTAAGAGCCGGTCCCAGTCCTTCAGCTTGTAACAATGCTGAGAATGCCTCAGTGGTAGTCGGGAGCCCTCAGCACTGTGCAGGATTAATCTCAGACATAATGTTTAGTTCCCTTCTGTCTGCCCAGTACCCACTGATACCGAAAATACAATGTACTGCGCAGGAGAATTGTATTGACTTAGAAGCACCTGAAAGGTCTGGGAGTAATTAGGTCTCCGCTTGATTTTTTTTTTTTTAATTGGATAAACATTTATTCATTGAACAAATGAAAAACACACTTTCCTCAATTCCAAAATGTTAAGTAAACTGGCCTGGTCAACATTAGTTGTATCTAAAAGGAATTTCAGCTGTGAACTATAATGGTAGGAACTTATGATATAGTAAAGAATTTATATACTTTAAACATCACTTCCCAGCTTTCTTTGCCATCTATTCATTTTTTACTGGAAAACCATAGTTCCCCTTGTTAGAGAGACTGCAGCTGTATTTGCTCTCTAAGCAGCTGGCTATAACTAAAGACTGAAAGGCTATTGAGTAGTCCCTTCTGCTTCTGGACTGCACAAACCAGCTTTGATAACTTGCCAATTATAAAAAGTTGATGACTTGTTTCTAGACTTATGAAATACATTCATTCCCTATCTTCCAATGGCTTTTTGGAAAAAAAAAAGTCATTTATTAGGAATGAAAAGAATAAGTGCTGTGTTTTTGCAGACACAGTATACACAGTATACTTTGCAGTCCATTCAGTGTATACAGAGATGCCTCTTGTCACTTAAAATACCACAGCCTTTCTCAAACCAAAAAATCTACTACATGTTAACAAATATCTTCTGATGTCATTATCTCACGTATTTCCTCCAAAAAGGTATTTCGTGTAAAAACTCTCACCGGCTCAAAAAAAAGCACCTCTGGCATCAGGGCGCCTGCAAATCTGTTCGCTTTGGCTCTTCTTCTACAGCTTGGTCATAATGAGATATTAATCCCTTTTGGAGGTGGCTGGACAAGCTGTGTGTAATCAGTCATGCTGCCTGTTGTACTTTTTAGAATGGCCTTCTTTATCTGAAAATGACAGCACAAATCCCATGTTCAGTGGATGGGAGCCATCTACATTCCCAGTCACTTCCATTCAGGCTATTACAATCTTATCAAAATACTCTTGACAAAAGCGATGGCTAATTACTTTTCTATTTTGTTTCCAGCTTTTTGGGTACAAGGCATTTGAGAAGGGAACATACCAGTTAAAATCATTGTTGTGGAATTTTAGTTTTTAAAGCCGTAAAACAAGTGGAAGGACAACATTTTTTTTCTTCAGTAGGTGAGCGATGGCTTTCCTGAAGACAAAGGGGACTGAACCTGTTAAAGGAAGGTAAGCCATGAGGACAGTCTGTTCTTGCTCACTAACAGGCATTTCTTTTTGTCTGCAGGCTGGGCTTAGCCCTGAATAAGTAAGTAAGTCGAAAAAGAGCACACAGATGTGAGAAGTATTCGTGTCAGAGGAACTGCCCTACAACACTTACAAGCTGGTAAGGGCACTCTTAGCTTGAAAGCTGCCTGCTCGGCTCCTCTTGCGATAGCTTTTCTGGCTGTAGCTAGAGTGAGAGTCAGTGGCTGACTCGGAGTGCTTAAAATCTTACTGATCTCTGGATGACTGTGATGAAGGTCTCTCAAGATGGCCTATATAAAAAAATCCAGCCTCTTTGAAGAACAGTGACAGAACATATGTGAAACATCCTTGGCTATAGTTTGGATTATCATTGAACTCTTTAAGGAAATAGTTTTGTCACATGGGCTGGATTTTACAAAGTTTACCATTTATTAAACAGACCCAAATTGTGCAGGAAGCATCTAAGAACTTGCTGATTAATTTTAATGGTGGCACAATTGTTCCCATGAGTGTCTGGATGACCTGAGCTGCTGCGCCTACAGAGAACGTGCACTGCGTAGGTGCTGCAGCTCATCAGAAGAACCAGATGATCGCTTATCTCCCTTAGACATGAAACATCATTGACTCTGTAAGCTGGTGGCTGGGTTCACAGTTCTATTATTAATAATGGGTTAACACTGTTCCTTTTTGATCTAAGCTGTGAGCCAAAATTTTGAGCTTTTTTTTTTTCTTGTGTGGTGGAAAGCTGACTGACGACTTGATGAGAGGTCATGGTTTCACAGCAAGTGCTGAGCCAGCTTAGCAGTTCGCTGCTGCTGAAAGCCGCAGTTTCAGCTCTTCTTCCTTGTCTGCACTTCTCGCTGTTCCTGCCTCTCAATTCTGTCCTCTCTCCGGAGCCTATACAACCCTATTCTTCTCTAAAGAACAATGCAGTCCTCAGTGTTTATATGTTACATTTCCTCCTTAAGCCACGGTCTCTACCCTGAAAAAAAGGGATGCGTGCCATGCAGGTTGGTGTAGTGACTGCAGTGCACTGTACTGACATGTGAGGTAGTTGTGAGCATATTACCACGTGGAGCAGTCGGAGCTGTAGGAGAATGGTACTTGGTGGCCATTTAATCAAGGTAAACTAAACCCCTGGGAGTGCTTTGGTGCAACAGCTACACTCCTATCTGTCCCAACTCCATGCTGTTTCCATCTAGCTCAGGTATCCCTAGCGGTATAGTAACAGTCCTTTGGCTGAACAGCAGTGTGAATAACACAGGTCCTTAGTATAGTAACAGTCCTTTGGCTGAACAGCAGCGTGAATAACACAGGTCCTTAGTTTTGACCTCAGGTGCTAGGGTTTCTTCTCCACTGGGTCCTAATTAACTGAATTCTTCCTCTCAGGAAGCTATTCGAGTCCCTAAGGTCTTTTTTTTTCTGGAAATCCTACAGAAGATCTAGTAATTCCCGATAGTAGCTGAGAGGGTAGAAAGTATGCATTTGATCAACTTTCTTTTACACAAAACTCCAAAATGTCTACATTTAAAAATACTTATTTTATGTTTCAAGCTTTGTTCAGGAAACACTGAGTGAAGCGGCTTTTGTGATTGCAAAAGAGCGACAGCATCAATTCCCATTCTGATCTGAAGGTAAGCACTCTCCGTTGCTTGCCTTTAGGTCTAACAGAGCGAGCCTTTTCTAGGGAAGGCCTCGAAGTAAAGCAAGTGTTCCTCTGCTTACTGCTGTATGTTCATGTTAGAACAAATTACTGTGTGTTCACTTCACAATGAGAAAGGCTACGTTCACTAGGCTTCAGTGAAACACTATGCTTCAGTGTTCAGTTGCTAAAATCTCATTCTGCTCAAGTATATGACATGTATATGTCCCATGACATATGTCCTATGTAAAACTAATTTAATACAGAATACATTAATCTAGGTATTGATATAAGCACAGTCCTTTTCCTTCCAAGCTTTTTTTTCCCTTTAAAATTACAATCTAGGTAAAGCAATACCAAATAAGGGCATGCAAAAACTCTGATGAAAAATTAAGACATGATGTTATAATACCTGCTGTTTCATCTAATTGTCAGTTGAAGTTTTACTAACAACACCAATTAATATCCATAAGCTATGAGATCATTTATTCTTTTGCTTTGATCTCCCTCTAGTGTTCAACAAAATAGGGTTAGCCAGCTATTAATGACTGATTACAGCTATTCTGGTTCCCTAGCCTGTGCCCCGGACATATATAACATTAGGCAGCCTAATAATTTCGATTTCATGAGCTGCCATCGGACCTAGATAAATGTTTGTTATGTTGAAGTGTTCACTGCAGTACAGCTTGGAGATTTACTGCATCAGAATAATGAATAGACATTGCATATGATTTCAATGTCTAGTACTTTTGTAGAAATAGCTTCACAATGATTGATATTGAGACAGTACTTTACAAAGAAAAAAGATTTAAAAAAGGGGAAATGTGTACATATACAAGCTAAATACAGAAAAAAATATTGTTGTGTCTAAAGCCACACATACACTAACTGGGCTATTAACAACAGAAGAAATTGTTTCTCACACAGTGATAGCTATGATTTCATTATAAGCAGCTTTTCTAGAGTGAAATTAGGCTGTAAATCACATTTGCTGAAAATTTAAATGTCTCATATGTATGTACATGTTGAATAGAATTCTGTATAATAAGTATTTTATTGACTTTGGAAAAAGTATAAAAAGAGTTTTCTGACTTGTTTAGAAACTGGACAGACTGAAGGTGTTGCAAAGAATACAGATGAAGAAAATCTAAACGACACATTTATTTATCTTACTGATGCTGTTTTTTATTTTCCCCTTAAGATCAGCTTGGAAATAGCACAACCACATATTTGTTTTATGAATAAGGAGAAATGTCACTTCAGGAAACCTAGATTTCCCCCTTCGTATTTGAGCTTACGCATTTTCAGTATGACACAACTTCTATCAGACAACCACAAATGCAGTAAAGTATCTAAGCTATACAGAAATTTTCCTGGCCAGGCCTGGTTCTCTCCATACAGTGTTAATGCAGCTTCACTCAAAACAATATGCAGAGCTCTGGGTATTTCAGCAAAGATACTGAAAGCAAGAAAAGTAAAAACGATTAAGAAAAGATGGACTGAGTTCTCAATATATTTAAATTTTTTGCAATATCAGAGAGGAAAAGGAATTATTTAGGACACTCATGATGGAAATGCAAGGAATATTATAAAGACAGTGAGAAAAGTTACTTAAACCTGAAAAGTCAGGAGATATTTCCTAACTGATTAACTTCTTGAGATGATACCATTTTTCACATACAGTTGCTGGGACTTTAAGCTATGCTGTTATCTCAAATATCTGGAGCTAAAAAAAATATATAGTGTTGAACATTATAGAGTTGGCTTAAAATGCTTGTCTTTTAGTGAGACATAAACACAGAATGCCTACAAAAGCTTTAGTAAGATAATCCACCCTCATATCAAAGTGGGTGGATGTGTTTATTGAAAACGAACGATTTAGAGAGACAGAAAGGAGAACTTGGAGAAAATGGAAGGCTGTAAATGAACTAATGCACCAGTGACTGATACTTTGTTTCCACAAGCAGTATCTGCACTTTGAAAGGACCTTCCCACCAGTGCGGACAAGGTGCTGTGCCGAGGGGAGGGGGGAACATTTACAAGTAATTTAGCGCACAGCTATCAGAGAAGAGAATGAAATTCAGTGAAAGTTTCCCCTGTCTTTGCAGGCTGACAGTAGACGTGATCATGGGAAATTATGTTTTTGGAAGTGCGTCGAGTTACAAATTTCACTCTCCACAGAGCTGCTGTTGCTTTGTAAATGAACGATATATTAAGAAATGTAATTACTAGCCTATTGTAATTTGTAGTTGCATAATCTACCTAACAGAAAAATCCTGCTGCTCCTAATGCAAGTAATTGCTATGGAAGCAGTGTACTTTGACCCTTGAGTCACATCCTCAGCTTTTGGAGATCAGTCTCACTCCTTTGGAGTGATTTTGTGACAAACTGCCCTGATTAGCACCAACTAAGTTTATGTTTCTTTATGAACATCGTGGTAGCTTGAATCATATTTTTCCAAAACAAAAGCTACTGTGTTCCAGACTTTACAGTCTACTGCTATTACACTATTCTTTCTTATTTACTTCCAGAATAAATTAAGTTTAAGACTATCTATAAATGTAACTTTCTACATGGAATGAAAAATAACAGTGAATTTGGACACACAACAAGTAGTTCTCTGCAATCATTGTAAAAATCAATCAAGAGGCCTTCAAGTGACATTCCTGAGGTCACTGCTCTGTTCTTATTCTTTCCAGTAAATCACTAAGTATACCAGTAACACTGCCATCACAGAGAGGTTGTTGTCAACAGGCATCAAGGAAATCTGCTGTACAAAAGAATGTTAACCATTTCTTGAAAGAAAAGTTCTGTGTTTGGGAGGAACTTTACAGCCTTCTTTCGCTAAAGAAAGCTGATCTCCTTGGCACTTTTTAGGAGCCACCCATCTGTTTCTCTCACAATGATTCCTCCAGTAGCTGCAAATAAAATTATAGTTAAAGTAGAGGGAACAAGCAGAATAATACTTTTTTCAATGACATAAAACAAGCATGTGATGTGAATTTACACTGTAATCACTGCTACTTATGCACACGCTCTTGTAAACCTAAATATGTTTTTTTGAAAGACAACATATAAAAGAAATGGGAACTTACTTCCTGAGAGTTACTTAAAAATGCTGTTGTGCTTCTAGTCTTGCCACTGAGCTAATACGTTTAAATCTCTTTAAGCTAAAAAGTAAAACTCGTGAAAAGACCATGACTAGAAAATGAATTCAACAGATGGTTACTTTCTCTGGGAAAAACCCTTAGGATGGGGGCAGGATACAGAAAATATGCCTTTGAGATGCTTCTTTTCAGAGTTGTGTTCCTGCCCATCTGTTTGAGAAGAAGAAATAATGGACAGAAAATAAAGACGTAGGGAGACTCAGTCCTGAGTTCTGCAAGCCCATAAAAGTTTGCCTGCCCATAGAGTAGTGGTTACATAAAGCTCTAGTCCAATTGCCTGTTGGCTTGCATCTAGTGCTAGCAGGGCTTCCCTTGTAGGAAAGAAGTAGCCAAAGTCTCACTGAAAGAGGTATCTCTGTAATCCCAAAACAGCTCTAGTCATGATGCCTAGAGAGACAGGAGGTAAATGAAGATCCTCCAGCTTAGGTGTCTTCATATACCTCCTCATACCTCTTCATATACCTCATTCTAGCTTGTGTTTTCCGTGCACTAGGATCCAGAGCCACGTGGCAATGGTGCTGTGGCAGAGCAGCTATTTCCATTCCTGCACAGGTATTCCAGAACTACAAGTGTGTATGCGTGTGTGTGGGTGTCATTTGGCTTCTGCTTCTGGTCTGAAAAAAAGTAATAAGGAGAGCAGGAGGATAATTGTTGGTTAAGGCATTTACAATAGTGTGTGTTAAATGCAGACATTTACTCAGTCTCAATTTTCCTTGTGGTTGGTTCCTTCAAGAACAGAGAAGGACCTCTGCTACGCTCTGCCTTTCCTTGCTGGGTGCTCCAAACTGGCACAGGATTAACTAACTAAAAGTACTGGCAGTTACAGTGCAGTGAAGGACACAGTTCTCTGTCAGTTATGTTGCTGAAAATCAATAACAATATCAGGTAGACAATGGAATTGCTCAATATTTAGGCTAGAGTAAGTGAGAACAGAATTTGGTCTTCCTACAGCAGAGCGAATGCTGCCAGGCTGTACTGGCAGGACTAACACTCCCTAGTGTTGACTAGTTAGCAAGTCCCTGAGAGATGTACAGCCTCTGGCTGATGCAGTGAAAAGACTGAGATGAAGCAGGGAAAGCAGTACCCAAGAGATAAGAAGCATTTCAGTGGAAGCTTTCCTACTATATAGCTTAGCTTCTTCAGATGGTAAAGTGGAAAATCTGACTTAAGCTTTGTAAAAGAGGCATAAAACCCCTGCTGAAATTTTACATTAAAGAGGATTGCAAGTTGAAAGATTAAGGGATCATTAGAAATTTGAAACTTTCATTCCACAAATCATACTGCATCTTTCATTACTTTTTCTAAGCAGGATTTCATGAGTTTTAGATAGATTTAGTAAACCTCCACTTACCTGGATGTGAAACAACTTGTGAGTCAGTGTGCTGGAAGCTCTGGGAGCAAGATTACTTATAAAGGAAATGAAGCCAACACAGTCTTTGCGTAAAGGAAAGACTGGAACATCTAAATCAAAGAGAAAGACAGTCGTCTTGTTGGTACAACCTTGAATTAGAGTCGTTTTGAAATAAATCATCAACTTTCTCTAAAAAGGTTTTTTTTTTTTTTAAAAAAAGATGCACAGTCAAAAGAGCCATTCTGTGTTTCAGCAGAGTTATTCTTTCAGCTGCTCCTGATCTTTATAACAACTCCTGTCAATATTCAGCAGACTGCAAATCAAGGAATCTATTCACAAACACCCATGTTCTGTTTATAAATAGTGTTTAATCATTCCGGTAAATGGTTGAGATGTCATGGGACTTTTACTGCCAATGGAATATCGAGAAGATTGTTGCTGTGTCTGTGTCTTTTACCAAAGACAAAATTGGTAGTAGGTCTGAAAAGTTAATGAGGTAGCGAGAACTTGGAAGCATCATGGTCCAGCTGTACTAATCTGGAGAAATTTAGGTGATTTTTGTGGGGAACTGTAATTCAGGTCAGGAAGATAAAAAATGTACCGAGCTTTAATAATACTTCACGAAGAGGTGGTAGTCTGAAACTACCAGTTCCAGTGCCACGGAAACAAATAGGTGGGTCAATCACATAAGTAGTGATCTTAAAGACTTCATATTTGGATCTGTTAAGTAAAGGTTAGGAGATAGCAATGCCCAGAAGCAGAATCATATTCCTAAGAGTTGAAATTGAAAACATTTGGTTGCTGACAAGGAACCAAACAAAACCTCAAACCTAGCTTAGAAAGGGTGAAGTTGGGCTTAGAAACTGAGGGTTTCATTCTTTTCTGTGCAGAATGACTGATGAAAACTCAAACCCTTTGTAATTATCAGTTTCTTATCCCTGGTGAGAGTTGTGTAGGTCCCTGACACATAGCAGCTGGAGAGGAGGGGGTTTAGCAACATGTTTGAGGGGACCTGAAGAAAGAAAAAGCTTTAGGAAATGGAAAATCTGCTCATCATATTCCAGCTTGTTTTAGATTTCCAAGGAGGAAAAGAAAGCCTCACTCCTCCTCTCCACACCTAAATGAATGCATAGTTTTCATCTCTGTTTTTTAAATTCCTTTTCTTTAGACCAGCTGGAATGACTGAGTGCCATTATGATATACAAGGATAACTAGAAGTAAGAGGTAAATGGTATGGAAGTAATGGTTAATGGCATGGTATGGAAGACTAGAACAGTGTCGAGACAACGGATGTCACAGGTGTGCAGGACACTTTTTTGCTACTTCTTTTCTTTGTCCATTGTTGGAATAATCATCTCTTTCAAATATATCTGGTCATGCTGCTTGCTCTTGGGTGCCAACTTCAACTACATTCATTCTGCATTGTGTAAGGGGGCACTCAGCTCCTCGTGGGTTCTTGTTCTTCATGCTGCTTTGGACCTGAAGATACTCTTCAGGTGCTTGGAAGTTAATCCAGGAAGTTCTTCATCTTTTTTAGTGCTGTGAATTTCTGTTCTAGTCTAACAATTCAGTATACAGGCTCACAGTGCATTGCATGCACCAAAAAAAGTCTATACCATAACGTTCAACAAAGACAAAAGAAATGTCTGTAAATTGTACTTAACTTTTTTTTTTTTTAATTTCAGCTGCAGGGAAAATAAACACACTGGAGACCCAAAAGCCTCTTCACCCAGCCTTGGGCAACAAATAAGTTTGGATTAGGTCTGCTTTGACAGTGAGGTAGAGTCAGAACTCATAGTCTGAATGTTTAGGGTCACGTACAATACAGAAATTAAATTTTTAAATTTATCTAAGTCTAAAAAGCCAGAAGGTCCTCACTGTCAATAGAGTGGTTCACAGATTTAATTGAATCCTAATGGTTTATCAGGTTATTAAACAGAATTGGAAACAGATTTGTCCTATGATCTTTTTATTATTCTATAGATTTGAGAGGAAGACTAAAAAGCCCTTGGATAAATCTTCCTCAGGTTACATCAGCCTAACATGCTAGGATGTCTCTACTAATGTTCCCAATATCCATGTTGAGATGTAATGTGACTGTTACTTTTCCCAGGCCAACAGAGCTGGTGTACAAGGAACAACATTGTGCCTTCGGTTCTAACTACAGCTAACAAAACTTTCAGCCTCCAGGAGTCATATTAAGTACAAACCTGCAGCAGTATAAAAGTCCCAGTTGATTTAGAGCTTCATCTCGATTTAATGTACTTTTGACTTGGATATAGAGGCTCTCCTTTGCTCAGCAGGGGAGCAGAGAAACACATATGACGCTATGATAAAACTCTCAGTGAATTTTTCTGCAAGCCCAAAGAGGAAGAAACATGAAGGTTAGTATTCAGAGATTGATTCTGGAAGCTACTGAGAGGCCTTAGAGAGGGGATTGGGTCCACAGAAGAGCAGAGGTGAAGAATAAACTAAATCATATCTAAACAAATGAACTACCTAGGCATAAAAGAATATAACTTTAGGGAGATCGATTTTTCTGTTGTCAATATATTAATTTTTAGTTTTGTTTTATGAAGAGAAAGTAGATAAAGATGAAGGGACATGTGAGAAAGGAGCCAGGAGTTTTTCAGTAGTTTTTTCAATAAAATATTAGTATGTAAAACAAATGTACTATGGTGAATTACAATAAAAAAGCAGTTAGAATTGCATGCCATAAATGATAAATGAATTCCTGCTATCACATTGTATAAAATACGTTACTTCTAGCTATTGAGCCATGAAACCAATAGTCAATTCTAGTTTGAAGGCTGATGATGCAATGTAATTAGAGAAAGACATTATTACCTGGAAAAACATCTTACAATGATTTTCTAGTTCTGTACTTACAAAATATAGCCAATTTAATACTCATATTGTGTATATTTTCATCCTACTGTGTTTCAGTTCCAAAGAGCACACCAGGAAATAAACAGTGATTTCACGATGTGTGACGATAGGAAGAGATGTATCAAAATGGTAGTTGTAAAGAGCTCTGCAAATAGACCAGGCTTTCAAGGAGGAGCTGTGGTCAGTAAGGCTGTCCAGAAGAGAACTATTAGGATACACAAGGATTAGAAAGCAAACAATAATCTTTTGGGGACAGGTTGCTAGAGAAGACATCAGCAGGAGAAGACATTTTTCTTGAGGAAGATAGCCTAATTGTGATTGTCTTGTAAGTCTAAAATACCGGAATATTTGCAATTTTTTTACCAGTTATCTACTATTTATATAAAAATGCTACACATTCTTGGTTACCTGATAAATATGGAAAGTATGACAGAAAATTAAGTTCTAGGGAATTTCTGGAAGCACACTGGTAATCAGCTTGTCCCTGGGGTAATGCCATACAGTCAAACAAAGCTGCAACAGGAAAGGGTTGAACCAATTCTTTCAGATGTTAGCATATTTTACATTGCACATGGAAATACAGCAAGTGTGATGATAGCAGGAGACAGTAGTTGTCTCTGGTGTCTGTGAAGGCAAGAGAAGAAGAGCTGGAGACTTACCTTAGCTGGGTTCCTCCTGGTTATCGAGGTGCAGGAGAGGGTGAAGGCAGGAAACAGAAGCCTGCAGCTAAGGACATGGCACCAGCACCTGGGCAGGCTGGAAAGAGTAATAAAAGAAGGGAGGAGGAGGTAAGCATGGATACGTGACCATGCTCTGCTTCAGACTCCTTTAAAACGGAGCCTTGGTTTCCTGGCACTCTATGTTTCCCTGAGGTTAGCAGCAGTCCCCCGTGTTGTCAGCCCACACCAAAGGCTATAGATAATTTTGCTAGCTCAAAAGTCAGAAGAGTGCACTGTGATGCTAAATGGCTTTACACTGCAGATGCCTCGTGCGCATGTAATGCGAATTCATGGACTAGATCTTGTTTATCCAGTTCAATTTTTTTAAGAGGAGTTCTACGCAAAATTCTGGTTAAAGCCAGCAGTAATAAGGACTGCGTTAGACTTAGTACACATAAGGGTTAACTGCAGTTTAATATTAGCATTTGCTAGCTTTTAAATACTTGGATTTGCTCTTTTTGTGTAATAAGACTATTCAATGCCAAAGATTAGAATAGATTTAAAAGGAAAAGCTGTCTATTGCTTTTGCCTTCAAAGGCAGTTGTCAAACAGATAAAAGAGTGGTCAGACACCGTTGCTCAAGTATTGGTATTCAGGATCACCAAAATATTTTCTATGGATGTGCAATATATAGAATCAATAGCAAGACAGGAGAACGTAAGTCATCTTGCAAAAAGTACGTTGACTTCTTGAGAAGTGCCAACAAGTTTAGTCCAAAGAAGCGTATGTTTTATTAAGTGTGACTGACAGTCTACGACGTTTCCCCTTTCTTTCTTGATTACTGTTCATTTTCTCTGCTTTCCTTTTTGTGGAACTTTTGGGGACATTCTAACCAAACAAAACCTGAAGAATGCATTCAATAAATATTTACCGCATAATTATCCATTATCAAAATGACTGTATAATTATTTTTACCTTTGAAAAGCAAGGACTGTGATGCATAACAAAGAACATCCATTAGCTCTAATCTTATATCATTAATTCATTTCTATGAAGAGCTTATTTGCATTATTCTCTTCCATTTCCTTAATTCCTCAGACTTTATATTTGCCTTTTCTTCCTAATTTTGGTTTTGCAGTACTGGAAACAAAATAGTTGATCTTGATGTAATTTTAAATAAAAGCTATTTTCATTGATCTAATAGCCCTTGAAAATAAACATAAATATACTTATATAAACATTACACTTAAATAAATGATAGCATGTACCTGGGATCATGATATTTGTCAAAAGTCCTGGTAAATACGGTAAAGATCTCAAAGATATTCAATATTTTAAGAATTTAAAAATAATAAACCCTCCAAGACATATACAATTTCATTTTTGTTTGATGGGTCTAGACTTTTGAAGTGGCATACATTAGAAGAGATCTAGGACTTTGCATTTTTCCCTTCAAGAATCTCCTACCAAGTAGGAGCACTTTCCTCTTCTCCTTCTAGCCTTTTTTATGCTAAACATTACTAACGATGACAGACTGTGGTACAGACTCGGGTAGCTTTCGACCTGGTGTCATATTTGGGTTAGTTGCTTCTCCGGTCCTTGATGGGAAAGCTATGTGTTGCTGAAGTGTAAAATCTGCATCGTAGTAATGTTAGCAAAAATATGTTTCGTGTAAGGGGATAATCCGTCAACTGGCTCCTCTAGTTTGCTACTAGCAAGCAGAAATTTTGTGTCACAGTTTAGTTAGTCTAGCTAATTTTTTTTTTAAACAATAAACTTCCAAAATAGTTTGTATAGGATCACCATCAATGCAACATGAGAAGCCTCTGAATTTCAAATTTATTGTTATAATATGTATCTTTCTATTTTCATTTTTAAAAAATCTCTAAAGCAGCCTAAAATCTCTGAATAAAGTTTTGTTCCTTTGTGCTTTCTCTCTGGGTAAGATAAGAATGATTAATGCTTTTTGCACTAATTAAAGCTAGTAAATGAAAATATGCAAATGAATAAGTGTAATGACAGGGATAAGTATTACTAAAAAACTGTACACTTCTCAAGACAGCAATGTCATTTGTCAATTTATTGAAATCTCTAGCTGATGGTTCAGAAATCAAGGAGTTATTTCAGCTGTTTTACTTTTCTTCTATCTTACCTTACTCAGAAAATCTTGAGCCCTTGGGCTCTCCGTGGGACTATCTGAGAGCAAGAGCAACCGTCTGTCTGTTGCTGGTGCTGAGGAGGAGGCAGAAAGGGGGAAGAAGGTAATCCTTTGATAATTTAGGTTTAATTTCTCTTTTTATTTTTCCTGCTTCCTTTTCCTCTTGTGCATAGGGCTGGTGATGGAGTATGTGAAGTGTTCATGTCAAACTGAGAGAGAATCCCTACAGGACTAGGTTTGTAGCTGCAGTTTACCTGGCCACCTGTGCCCTTTAATCTATAAAATGCTGATTTATCTTCATACTGGAAGCGTTGACAATAGAGTTAAGCTGAATGGGAGGGACAACATTGGAGAGAGGAAGACTGCTATTTGAAGTATGAACCTCTCAGTGGTACAGCACCTCTAATATAGTAACAGTGTAAGTGGGGGAAGATTCACTGGAATGTGAAAGTCTCTAAATGAATGGACCTCTGTCAGATGTCTTTTTTTAATTTAGAACTTTCTAAATTTAGACATCTGTTTAGGGAAGGAGGAATTGAGCACGATTTGCCGTTTTGTTCTTACACTTGGTGTCTAACTTTAGGAAT